CCAAAACCACTATTCGCTTCGAACTCAATATCCACCATTCGCACAAGACTACCTCAAAGCTAACCTTCGGCGAGGATGACAGTAGGGTGATTCCACGTCAGTTCATGCAATGATGGTCCGGGTCATAATTTAGATATTTTTGTTAAAAATATATATGAAAGCCATGTTTTTGGGAGGAACATTCAGCTAGATATGAACGCCGTAACAATTTTTTTCGCTGAGATATAAAATAGAGAAGCTCGAGGCGTGGAAATTGAGATTTCACAATGCTACTTTGCACAGTCGTCATTTCCTTATCGAACCTTTCACGGCACCATAACTTTTTTAATAGGTTTTACAAAGGTTACACAACACATACACAAAAAATTAAAAATATTAATAAAATATTTCCATGCAAACAAAAATATCAAACATGGCATAAAAACGCGTTTTAGAGACATATTCACAATTTTTTTGCAAATAAACCATCTTTCATAATACTTCACAAAACATGTCAAAATACGGGTATTTAAATATTCTTTACGGATATGTAAAAATTATATGCCCACCCTCAATTGTCTTCTTGTTATTAACGCGGAAATGCGGCTGATTTCTCAAAATGTGGCAAGATTGGGCGTAAATATTTAAAAAAACTCCATCTTTTATTTTATTTTAACTCCCCGTGGCACTTTACAGTGACTTGAACTAGCTTGTGATGGCAAAATATTGAGTAACATATGACCTCCAAGCGGGAAAAGCTACGACAAACCTTCACTCGGAGCGAGCCGACGTCTTCGTCAAGGCGGCTTTGCCGCACAGCACCAAACGTTTTGAGCGTTAGTTATGGCATGTATTTTATATTATTAAAATTCTTTTTTTCATAAGGGCTGAGTATTAGTGACGTGAAAATGGACTTTGAGCTGGAATACCATTAATTAGCTTACAATTCACAGGAACAAAACGGCCCCACTGTGCGAATTCGCTAACTATGCATATATAAGCTTAAAGCTCTCAGTTATGCGAGTGGCCATGTATACATCCGGCCTCTCAACATATGATGACTTCCACAGATGAGAAGCCTGGATTCCTCTCACAGGTTTTATGGTGGTCCACTCTGCTTGCTTTACCGCACGAAACTCTCGAACCCGTTCCACAGACAGGTGGAACATGCAGACATTTGTTACTTTTTACGTAGCACTTCCACAAAGTCTTTAGCGGTGGCAATCGTTGAGTTGAGCGAAGATCTCAACTTGGTGAGCGTTGGTTCTTCCACCTACTTCATCACAAGCGCTTATCCATCTTACCGAAGAGTGCGGCGTCCGAGACAATTCGTGCAATTGGAAGCGATTCTTGAAATGCGCCGCCGCTCCGTCTGATACAAACATTATTTCAGAAAAGACTGGGAAATGAACATTAACATACTCTTTTATGGCCTATGTGGCTAGAAGAGCGCGAGCTGTGTCATGTGTCGTGTACCATCGGTGACAACGGCGAAGCTTTGCGTGCCTTGCGTGGACGTAACCACACTTGTGGAGAGAGACACTTGAGATTTTTTTCAATGAAAGCTCTGCACTTCGGTTGGGAAGAGTACTGTCCATTTTTCCGCAAAATCGAAGTGGAACATCACTGCCTTGGGTGGTAAGGCGGTTCTGGTGTCATGTATCAAGCTTAGTTCAATGTCAAGGATGTAAGAATGCCTCATTTACTTTTCGCTCTCCTATTGCCGCAGGAAGGCAGAAGTGTCCATAACCTTTTTGACGAGTTCGCCAGCGTCCCATAACGCGAAACAGATCTCTTCGTCTTCGTCGAGATGAAGCGACGGCAGCGAGATGCCCTGCGTTTTTGGGCACTTTTCGCAACGGCGCAGAAAGCAATCGTTCTGTGGAGCGCAGCAGAGGGAGATGCGCTTGAGGTCGTCTTCAGTAAATGTCTTCTTTGGGGCATTTGTTATTCCCGTTAAAAGCAACTGAAAATTGACGCAATATATGCATGCGCACACCTCGAGCTCGGGACTTTTTTTTTACCCATTTTGGTCGTAGGGAATAAAATTTGGAGATGCCTAGTTCGGGATGGGGATGGTCCTTCCTAAACAGCTGGTAAGCTTCCTTAATAGATCGGGTCATAAAACTTTTTACGACTTTGGACATGTCGTTGATCATGGCTTTGACGACGTCCTTTTTGTTGGTGCTTTGAACAGAGCATGCGAGGTCGTCGCGTGTGTAGTACTCAATTGCAACCCTCACGTCTTCGGCATTCGCCTTTTTCCCCATGTAAGGATCAGGGGTTGCCCAAACACCACCTTTGCGCTTCAGTTTTCATGTTTGATCAATCATGTAGGCAGTCGCTTCCGACACCAGACGCAATATTTTTTTCTTCAGGACGATTGGTGGCAGAAGCACGTACAATCGCTTGCGTTCCTGGTGGGAACTACGTGCCTTCAGCGCTTCGCAAAACGCGTCAAACCACTCTGCGCAGTGCTCACAACTGTCTTCGAGTTCGAGAGTTTCGTGCGGTGAAGCAAGCAAAGTCGACCACCGTAAAACCTGTCAAAGGAATCCATGCAACTCATCTGTGAAAGTCATCATATGCCGAGAGGCCAGATGTATACATGGCCATTCGCGAAACTGAGAGTTTTAAGCTTGTGTATGATGCATAGGTAGCGAATTTGCAGAGTGGGGCCGTTCTATTCCTCTGAATTGTAAGCTAATTAATGGTATTCCAGCTCAAAGTTCCTTTTCACGTCACTAATACTCACCGCTTATAAAAAAAAAAAAATTTTAATAATATAAAATACATGCCAAAACTAACGCTCAAAACGTTTGGTGCTGTGCGGCAAAGCCGCTATGACGAAGACGTCGGCTCGCTCCGAGTGAAGGTTTGTCGTAGCTTTTCCCGCTTGGAGGTCATATGTTACTCAATCTTTTGCCATCACAGGTTCGTTAAAGTCACTGCAAAGTGCCACGGGGAATTCAAAGAAAATAATAGATGGAGTTTTTTTAAATATCGACGCCCAATCTTGCCACATTTTGAGAAATCAGCCGCATTTCCGCGTTGATAACAAAAAGGTATTTAAGGGTGGGCATATTATCTTTATATATTCGTAAAGAATATTTAAATACGCGCATTTTGATATGCTTTGTGAAGTATTATGAAAGATGGTTTATTTGCAAAAAAATTGTGAATGTTTCTCTAAAACGCGTTTTTGTGCCATGTTTGATATTTTTGTTTGCATAGAAATATTTTATGGATATTTTTAATTGTTTGTGTATGTGTTGTATAACTTTTGTAAAACCTATTAAAAAGTTATGGTGCCGTGAAAGGTTCGATAAGGAAATGACGACTGTGCAAAGTAGCATTGTGAAATCTTCTCAATTTCCACGCCTCAAGCTTCTCTATTTTATATCTCAGCGAAAAAAATTGTTACGGCGTTCATATCTAGCTGAGTGTTCCTCCCAAGAACATGGCTTTCATATATATTTTTAACAAAAATATCTAAATTATGACCCGGACCATCATTGCATGAACTGACGTGGAATCACCCAGTATTGAATCACCTAGACCAATTTAGGCTTTCTGGTCGTGCCTTCATGGCTGTATTCCGACAAATAGCGCGAGAAGCGCAATCGACGCATTCTTTAAACATATACCAAAACCCTTCATTAGCGTGAAACTGAAGTATGCACCTAAGAGGGTAACCCTGCGGATATCTCTTCGTGTATTTGCTTAACTGTAAAAGCATGTGCCAAAGGGGGTTCGAGTTACAATTCGACACAGTTCGAATTATAACAAGAAATAAGTAGAGCAAGGTGAAAAAGAAAATTGGGAGCGTCTTCGCAGTACAATTGTTTGGTGGGTTTACATGGTGTTCATATGGCAAGGAAAGCATACATTTGACATGGTGGATGTAACAGCCAACTCGCCCAGTTCAACACCTTGTTAAAGCATACTTTTTTTTTCATGTAAATATAAACAAAGTTTGTATGTTTTATCCTCGAGATGAAAGACAAAATATCGCACCTTTGACGTTTTGGTAACATATCTTGAACCCTGCATTTCAAGACTTGCAAGTCGGATATCACTACCAAAGAGCACAGTGGTCCGCGAAAAGTACTATGTACCCAGACTTTCCAGCCCGTGACAAGAGAAAAAAATTCCAGGGTGGCTTTTGTTGTTTACGGACATACCCCGAAATGAGTTTTTCTCACAACTAGTTTTATAACCTTTTGTTAATAAAACCAGCCAGTGGGAATTTCATTTTTAACCTGTCTCATTAACATCTAGCACTTCCGATTTCTTCGTTTTTTTTTTTTAAACATCAAGTCTTACCTTTGTGAGCATCCGAGTAGCGCAAAATTTATTCAGGAGTTGGCAAAACTCGCTTCTCCGACTTCCGTCATGAGTTACAATGGGCGTCTGAGGAGTACAATGGACCGGCTGTAAAAATTCCACAAGGCCACGCGCGAGGTGCGCTACGAATTAAGGCCCGTTCACACTCTTGCAACCGAGTACGACCGAGAGACCAGACCGGTTTTTAAGCCTCTTGCGACCTCTTTGGACCAGCTCCGCTGCAGCGGAGCTGGTCCTCAGAAGTCGCAAGAGGCTTAAAAACCGGTCTCGTCTCTCTCAGTCGTACTCGGTTGCAAGAGTGTAAACGGGCCTTTATGGGACCATCCTGTATGCTACTTCTTACTCCAGCAGCGTCCATCTCTACTGCTTGACACTGAGGAGGCCGACAGAAGATGTAGCGCAGTTGCTCGCCTGCCATCGGCCGCTTGCCTGCGTTGCCCCCGTTGTCTGCTAAAACTCACAAAACTCTTGGCGCCAGCAAAGGGCGCTGCATGTTTCTCAAAAGAGCTAATCACATCAAAGCAGCTACAGGACATCGCAGCGTTGGTGAAGCTTCGTTTCTCTAATACTATGCTGAATTCAGTGGTTGGGTTGAACTCCCGCTGAGCGTTCAGCGGGAGTTCAACCCAATCAAACTTATTTCCCCCTGTCCAAATGAGAGGTAGCAACCAAACTGGTGTGGTGAAATAATGTTTTATTATAAATATACTCAGCAACTAAAGTAAAACCATCAACCTGAAGGTGACTTCCAAATCGTAAAACACAGATTAGCAATGTTGCAGGTACACATAAAAAAACAAAGTAAACATAGCAGATGGAAGTACAAAGATGGATGTTTTTAGTGCAATTCTATTCAGAAACACACATCTCAATTGCTGTGTGAAACATCCGCAGTACGTCGACGCATAGCCTTGGACAGAAAACAGTGCTCGCTGCAGGAAAGCCTGCACTACGAACCTACAAGTACCGATAAATAAAGTACGTCTGGAACCATATAAAAACATGGTGGTTGTCACTACAGCCCAAAACTATCACAAAAAAAACTAGGTTTGAGTATTTCGAGTAGACTGCTTATGGACATGCCGCAATCTGCAAATCAAAGAGGTGCTGCAAAAGCAGGGTAGAGCTCACAACATTCTGCGTCTGCGGGTGCTTATCTCGCACGCTTGACGTCCAAGTTAAACCGTGCTGCTAAGAGGTCATCTATATACAGTAGGCAGAGAGCGTTCGAAGTTAACTTTCCTACTGCAATTTCATGTAAAAGCGATTCCTTAGCAGCGTGTCACAATTCAAAGGCATAGCAAAGTGTCACGGTGCCATATCTCTGTCAGCTAGTTCAGCACGGCAACAAGAACAGACAGCGTGTGTGCTCACACCTTAGGTCCATTGCACCCTACTCGAGTCCTCGTGCATACTCACAATTCATGCAACACGGAGGTCCAGTTCTATCATCGAGGAGATTCAAAGCCAAGAGACACTTTTGCGGGACATTCGAGTTCAACGAGATAAATAAGCTCGAATCCGCTACTCTTTTTTTTTTCTGCCTAAACTCGGCAAAACACAACCAAAAGCCTCGTCGTTGGCTAACCCCGTAATCTCGCTTGGGTCATGTTATTATTAACACAAAAGAAGAACAAACAGCTGCTCTTTCAAGGCCTGTATGGAGACTGGCAAAATAGCCAGACCTGCGCTTCCGATGCACCCGAGCCCTAAAACTGCCAAACCTCAAAGTAACCCGTTATGGCAAGCACTTCGCGTTTTACGCCTCTATGGCTTGCCACCGGCATTACACGTACGCTCTACAGAGTAAAATCACAGTTATGGATACGTTCGTCAACGGTGCAATGCTCTAAAAATAAAACAAACGAGGAAGAGAATAAAAAAGTAAGAGGGGATGAGGGAACAACGCGCCACTCTTGGAGAGGCGGCTGAGGCGACACCCCGGACACTCGCAGAGTCCTCACCGAGCCGTTCTTGAAAGTACTCGCAACGACACATTTCATTCTTAAGCGTGGCCGAAGGCATTCGTTAAAAAAATCCGACGATCAAAGGAAACCGTAAAACTCCAAAGACACTTTTCGACTGTCAAACGTCCTGCAGACTTGTCTCGTTAAAAAAATTCCGACGATCAAAGGAAACCGTAAAACTTCAAAGACACTTTTCGACTGTCAAACGTCCTGCAGACTTGTCTCACGAGTTGATGTCTCGGTTGTCGCACTTTGATTTCGGAAAGACCTACATCGGGTGCTCAGAATGTACACGTTTTTCAATGGCGCGCAACTGAAATTAAACGAATTTGCTCATGATAACTTACGCCAATAAACCTATTGGTTCCGATTTAATGAACGCCTCCAGCCACGCCGCCAGTGCCGTTGGGCCCGTCGTGGAGACTTTGTTGCGTCAACTGCCAAACCGGCGCAGTGTCCTGGGGTTGAACCGAGGTGCAGGTAGGGGGACGAGTCCTGCAGGTGGCCCGAGGATCAGGCCAGGTCAATGATTCTCGCGTGGTCCGAGTTCTTGTCGGTGTTGTCGCTGTGGCTGGTGCCCTCGTAGTCGTCGTATGTGTTCCAGGCTTTGTCCTGGACGGGCAGGATGCTCAGGGACGACCGTGACGACGTACTGCTCGTCGAACGAGTAGACGAGCACGAAGCCAAGCGCTGCAGGGCATCCTCGTCTTCCGCGCCCTTGGTGTCTGCACAAAGTGTGAGCCAAAGTTCTCACCTCCACCCTCATAGGAGCGGGCACATTTAAAGGGGCGGTGGGACGATTTCTGTACCTTGCGTAAATACCACTTAGAACGAATCCCTGATGTTTATCATCCATGAAACACGTTAGTTTTTCTTCTTGTGCAATGGAAGCTGCAACGGACGAGCAGCATTCACCTTCTCAACTTGGAGCCAAAACAAGCGAACACGTAATCAGGAATCGATTGAATGACACCAACGTTTATCATAGCCATGAGCCAAGGTTGGCAAAGCGCAGGACACGTACCGAGAAAGTGAGGGAGAGGAGGAGACAAGAGATCTCAGAATGCCGAGCTCTGGTTGGAACAGTCAGTGGGGAGACCTAAAGCTAGCAGGCCCTTGTCTCTACAGCACACATCAAATGCGTTAGAACGTGGAACGCAGGCGCCTGGCGTTTGGCTCTCGTATTCAAATGTGTTCTATAAGTGCAGTGGAGACAGATACCGTATAAACCTGAATATAGATTGAATTCCTTTTTCAAAATGGACGTTAAAAAGTCAACCCTCAACTTTTATAACGGTTATTAGCAAAAAAAAAACAAAAATAATCTCACAACACTGGGTGGCTGAAGCTGTCCTCTTGTTTTTTTTTTTGTAATCGCCTAGCACTCGTCCACTTGTCAAGACGGTCACAATTCACTTTCACTTGTGCTCCTTGTTTTGTTACATCTACCGTTGCCGCTACCGCAGTGGTAATGAGCGGATGTAGAGGACAGTTCACAGTAGCTTTTAAGAAGAAGGCATCGCCTATGCAGAGATCCACGGGAATCTTGCAGCGCTTCGAGAGTTCGGTGTATCAGAGAAGAGCTTACGCTACTGGCGAGGCCAGAGACAAAAACTGGTAGTGCCACAGCAAGGCGAAAAAAACTTCATTTCGCGGAAGGACTGTGGTGTAGCCCGAATTGGAAACAAAGGTGGCAAGTTTTATTTGGGATCTGCGCGCCAGATCACTACCTGTGACGTCGGAGAGCATCCGTATGAAAGCCGTCGAGGTTACTCGTGTCTCCGGGCTCTCGAGGACTTAATTCAAGGGGACGGCATTGTCCCTTTGAATTGCATTGGTGAACTTGTCGTCGGACAAAGGTTCTGAAGAATCTGAGTAGTTAACGCTCGTTCACTTCCTGTTTTATTGTGTGAGAAGCAATCAAATAAATGTGTCGTGTTTTCTCGTTTTTCCGTGTACTTTACCAAAATTGTTACCAAGGTAAGAGGTTGCATTTTCCTGCCATAAAAAGTTCTTCCCGCTTTTTGCAACTTGTAAATTAGCGGGTCGACCTATGTCCCAGTTTATGCGGTAGCTAGTTTTAGGTCTACCCACTAATCAGTCGAATCGGAGCTCGGCGTTCTGACGTCCCCACGAGCTCTTGTCTCCTCCTCTCTCTCACTTTCTTGGCACAACGTCGTCATTGCAGAGACTGGACACGAGCCACTACACGAATGCTTGTCGAGCTATCGATTATCATGAGTCCAAATCGAGTGCTCACGATATGCTCGGGTCCAATCTACGAGCCGCATTCAAATATCGTCGCTTGGGGAACCGTGCCAACACTGCGAACTCCAAACTACATCAAGTTATGCGAAAGAAAGAATGAAAGAAAACGCTCACTTTTATCCTTAAAATTATACCGCAACAAAGAAGTTTGATGGTCAGTCGCATTGCATAAGAGTATACTTGGGTCCCACTAGTGCCGGTAAGCTCGCGTAAAGTCAAAAACATGCCAACTGAACATCATTGCACTGCCCCTTTGAAGGCCGGTTCTCGCACTTGCATTTGTTTCTGACAGAGTGCATTGTGCAGCCTTGTGGTCACCAATGAGAGGACACATATGTGCCACCTATGGCGCGAATGTGTCATAGACGGGTTCGAATACCAGCCGGGGGACCCATAATCCGATGAAGGCTTATTGTGGAAAAGGCACCGTGCAACAAATTTTGTCGGCACATGGGAAGGACACGGTGTTTGATTTACTCCCAAGTGGCGAGTGTGGCAGATGCCCTTTGATGGTTTTGCTATCGAGCCCCCTGAAGGCTGGTTCATGCACATGCGTTTGGTTGCGACAGAGTATGTTGTGCAACCTCGTGACTTCTTGTGATCTCTTGCGACGAGGGAAGACGCCGGCTCCATCTGTGAGGTATCCCTGGAATGCTCGTGACGCACACTAGTATATTTCCCAATTATTTCCCACACCATTCTTCCGCATGGGCTTGAAAAACCTTTGACAATGTTATAGGCAACCACTTTCCATAGACGGTACGCGCACCTCATCTTGCAAATACTGCAAAACCTTCACTTCAGTTAGATGCAGCTCCAGAGATACCTCACAGATGGAGCCGGCGTCTTCTCTCGTTGTAAGAGATCACAAGGAGTCACAAGGCTGCACAACGTACTCGGTCGCAACCGAACGCACGTGCATGAACCAGCCTTCAGGAAGCTCTATAGCGAAACCATCGAAGGGCACCTGCCATACTTGCCACTTGAGGGTAAATCAAACAGCCGTGTCCTTCCCATGTGCCGACAAAGTTTGTTGCACGGTGCCTTTTCCGCAATAAGCCTTTATCGGATTGTGGTTCCCCCGGCTGGTATTCGAACCCACCGTCTGGAGATTGGCTGGCCGGCACTTTGTCTCCAAAGCCACTGTGGCAGCTTCCACGAAGAAAGCAATAGTGCACTTGCATAGTCCCAATTTTACTGGTATCAAGGGGCTGAGCTACCATAAAATCCCCGGAAAGCACCATCCCTGATTTTGAAGATAGGCACGCTGAAAGCAAGGAGGCAGCTACCTAATTAATCCTTTGACGGCCATCGCTGCATGGCTATCGTTGTGCCCGCACAAACGCACAACAGTGCACACCACGAGGTGTTGCCATTTGTTATGTTTTTGACAAACTTTACAACATATTTGCACTGTGTTCCACTTTGCTTGGTTATTTATAGCTCTCAAATTAGACGCTCTGTACACGTAAGGCTCCCTTCACATACCAGCCGCTCTGGTGGCAGTGCCAATGGAAGCACTGGCTCTTCCGACTCAGACTTCCAACGTTTTCGGAATTAAATTTAGCAGATGAGAGCTCATCATCCGACGAAGGTGCTCTGCAAGGTTAGGAATCGGAAGGCGCTGGAATGTCACGGAAGCGGATGGGCCAAAATTCAACCGAATGGAAGAAAGGCGACAGCTTTTTGCCTTTAATATTTTCCCTTTATGTTTCTAAACCTAAACAGCTTGCAAGCACTGTACGTGCTCCTTCCAGATAATTAACCTTTTATTTATACTTCTATTTCGGAAACAAAACCCGACCACTGGAAAACATTTTTCGGGAAAAAGAACTTGACCCTCAAAGGGTTAAAGCATCAAAACAAAGATAGCAATAATGAAAGATGTCATCCCAAGATGTGCAAAGTTCATTCTAAAAAATACGGCAGGACCTCGCTGATGTGTTCCCGATTGATACAACTTCCCAAATGTTATGTTCATGGTCAGAAGTCCCATTTGAAGGCCCAAAGAACTTATGTAGTCATTTGCTGCTTTCTGTATTGTAATTTTTTGGGCTTCCCAGTTTTTACATTAAGAATATGGCAGAGTATCGCAACGTATGTAACACGAAAGGCTTTGAGCTTGCTTCAACCGAGATGCGGAAAGACGAGCAAGTGCAGCGGTGATGATCGGCGCTTCTGTCAAACAGCTGCTCCGACAGCAAAAAGGGGCTGCGACTGCCTGTGAAAAAAAACTCATATTTTTATTATTCTTGTACAAATCTAAGTGTTCCAAGCCTGCAGGCATACACGCAGGGTACCCTGTTGCACAGGAATTGCTTTTCATCTCGTCCCTTAGCCCATCCAGAACATTACGGGTTGTTTTGTTCTCATCAATCTGTTGCCATATCTCATTTTTTCTATATCACGCAAAATGCTTCTCAGAAGTAAAGATTACAGTATTTTCTTGCATATTACTTGCATCAAAATTTCTATACGATCAAAGGCAAAGCAAGGGTGTGGGTTACGGAAACTACGGCGAGCAGTGTGACTTGACGGCAATGCATGCAAAGTCATAGGGATAGATTCCCCAGAGTCCCACCTCTCCGGTCCCTCCTAGCGACTTTCTTCTTCCCCTTACTCCCCTTCTTTTTTTGGGTAGCCGTCTTTGCATTGTTTTTGTGGGCCGAGCAGGTGAGTTGAACCGTCAAACGCTGCTCCGCGCTGACTGTCGCCAGATCCGTTGCCGAGATTGAAAACCAGGCGGCAGGCCAGAACGACTACTACGACGTTCACAAGTCGTGCGTGCAAATATCAAGGAAGAATATGAGCCTGCAAGCAGCGACCGAGGATCATTTCGTGGTTCAAAGACTGGCGCCCTGGCTGGTGCCTATCCCTGAGCTTGAAAAAGCACTCACGAAGCTTCATTGAAAAAAGAAGAGGTTGCGGTTACGCCATACAATAGATTTTTCCAGACAAGAACAGTTTCAGAAAGTGCCTCGACAGCACGGATGATGACGCTATCTGCGACAATGAAGGGGCCTCAAACGATAGCTGCAGTGACTGCAGCAACGAGCGTATTCAAAATTAAGTTATGATTCCTAACGAGACCTGAGCACTGCCTTGCGTTGTTAGTGTGGGTAATATAGAAAGTATTTGTTTTTTTCTGAGAGGAGGAAATATACGGAGGCGGATAATATGCGCAAAATTATGGCACTTAAGGGGAGATGCAGGGTTGGGATATAGACGTTTCGACTAAAATTTTTAAAGGGACCATGAAATGATTTTAAAATCAAATTTCATCCACCGCACGTCGTAAAAGGTGTGAAAAGAAACACAAAAACACATAAATAGGGAGCCAAAAAAATTATTTGCTATGGAACTTTTAAAAGAAAACTGGACTCTTTAGCGCCTTCTTTCCTTCACCTTTTCACTACGATGCATCCGCGGAAACGGGGCACGTCAGCCGAATCCACGT